TATTCTTCCCTTATTTACATAGATATATATTGTTATAACACCATTCTTCCATACTTTACATAGATATATATTGTTATAACACCATTCTTCCATACTTTACATAGATATGTATTGTTATAACACCATTCTTCCATACTGTACATAGATATATATTGTTATAACACTATTCTTCCATACTTTACATAGATATATATTGTTATAACACTATTCTTTCATTCTTTACATAGATATATATTGTTATAACACTATTCTTCCATACTTTACATAGATATATATTGTTATAACACTATTCTTCCATTCTTTACATAGATATATATTGTTATAACACTATTCTTTCATTCTTTACATAGATATATATTGTTATAACATCATTCATTATAACATCATACTCGTGGTATAACGAGTCTATGACCATGGTTACCGTGTACAAAGCCGTGGTATAACGAGTCTATGACCATGGTTACCGTGTATAAAGCCGTGGTATAACGAGTCTATGACCATGGTTACCGTGTATAAAGCCGTGGTATAACGAGTCTATGACCATGGTTACCGTGTATAAAGCCGTGGTATAGCGAGTCTATGACCATGGTTACCGTGTATAAAGCCGTGGTATAACAGTCTATGACCATGGTTACTGTGTACAAAGCCGTGGTATAACGAGTCTATGACCATAGTTACCGTGTATAAAGTCGTAGTATAACAAGTCTATGACCATAGTTACCGTGTATAAAGCCGTGGTATAACGAGTTTATGACCATGGTTACCGTGTATAAAGTCGTGGTATAACAAGTCGTGAATATTTGATATGAAGTGGATATTCAATGTTCTGTTGGAACTGAAACCAAACATCGTTTGAATCGTTTCATTATATTTTATTTTCTATCAGTGTTTGTGTGATGTCGTTTATTTAACGTTGCAGTAAGGCACCACACAACTTCCAGCAGTATTGTTTTGGATATTCCCGCAAATCTTCACAAGAATTATCTGTACTAACCGTCTATAAGTTTGAACTAATAGTCTAGAGGGAAGGTAGCTAGTAACGGCACCACCGTCAACTCTAGGGCTGCTGTAATCAAATAATGGGATTTTGCTGCCCCCCCCCCCGACCCTCGGATCTATAGTTTGTCAAGCAAACTATGGGCCACGCCCGGTCCACAGAGATTGTATCATGGTAGTTGATGGCATGTTTTATTCCTGTTCTTAAAGTTATACACGTTATCACGACATCGCATGACGAACGTTATAAACGATACGTTACCGAGGGCAACTACGTAACTAGGCAACCTGATTGACGTGCGTGCCTTCCCTTGTGATGAACCTTCGGATGGTTATCATTAATTTCTGACTTTCTTTTTATACCTGTCAAGCCACGTCTTTTTCCTTGTGATGTATATTCTATTCACTGAAACATCATCGTTTTGAATATTATTTTATATTTCATATTGTCCATCCATGTGTATTTGTAAGGTATTCAGATTTAGCCCACACCCATGCTACTGAAATTTAGCCTTATATACGTATATAAATGTCTTATTTTATATGTATGTATGAATGTTTTATGGTATATATGAACGTGTCTTATGTACTGGTACTATCTGGTGTGGTACAGTCCCTAACCTATCTGGTGTGGTACAGTCCCTAACCTATCTGGAATGCTTTTCTTCATCTCATTCTTCTTAATGTAATAATCGTATGTCAACTGATTAGAACCAGGTTGTTCTAGTAATTACACACGACGCAGTTCGGATTAGCCTTCTAACCACCAGGTAAAGGTTACAAATCTAGATCAGCATTCCAACCACCAGGTAAAGGTTACGAATCTAGATCGGCCTTCCAACCACCAGGTAAAGGTTACAAATCTAGATCGGCCTTCTAACCACCAGGTAAAGGTTACAAATCTAGATCGGCCTTCTAACCACCAGGTAAAGGTTACAAATCTAGATCAGCCTTCTAACCACTAGGTAAAGGTTACAAATCTATAATAATATAAGAGCCTGCTTGTGTGACCGCCATAGCTACAAAAGGTAAGAACCTAAAGACCCGAAACTTTTTACGCATTCCAAGGGGATTTTGAGGGTGTGCACGTGGGTATTATTTTTTTAGATTTGACTTTGTCAATTTTTTGCCCTTAAACCCCATAATTCTGCTTCCTAAAAAGTATGTTTGTTTTTTTCTAATTCTCACTTACTGAGTGAACAGTATGGAGAGGTTTTCTGCCAAATATTGTTGTAAAAGAACAAAATGGTAAAAAAAAAAAAAATGCCATCTGAATTTCCATTTCAATTCAAGCGGCTCCAGTTCCCAGTTTGACTCGGCTTTTCCATGAGCATCAACAAGGCGCAGAGGCAATCATTCAAGGTTGTTTGTCTCAACCCGCAAAGCCCATGCTTTTCTTATAGCCAACTTTATGTTGTTGCTAGCAAGAACTTTTTCATCTTGGCAGCACGTGGGAAAACAACCAACATTGACTATCCTGAGACATTGCAAGGATAAAATATTTACAAAACATTGTGATAAAATGTGTGTTATATAATGTGACGTGAAATTCTCAGTACAATGATAAATTATTAAATAATTCTTAACTTGCAGCAAAGATTTTTTATTATACAATAAAATTATATAGGTTTCTGGGAAAACAAAATCTCTAAAAAGATTTTTTTGGCTGTATCTAAAACGCGCAAAGCCGTCCCTAATTTAGCACTGTAAGATTAGAGAGAAGGTAGGTAGTCATCACCAACCGCTAACTCTTGGGCTACTCTTTTACCAACGAATAGTGGGATTGACCCTCACTTTATAACGCCCCCACGGCTGAAAGGGCGAGCATGTTTAGTGGGACGGGGATTCGAACCTGCGACCCTCAGATTGCGAGTCGAGCGCCCTAACCACCTGGCCATCAACCCTGAATTACAAGATAAGAAATATTTATCATATTGGTGACAAGGTTGGAGCTTATAACGCATAAAATCGGGTTTCAATACTCCGACAGAGCACAGCCAAGATAGCCCACTGTGTAGCTTTTTGCTCACCTAGAATGCTATAACTACAACAGTTGGGCATAATGGTGTGTCCTGATTATTAATATTTTATTTTTCGCAAATTATTAGCGACTAAAACATCGCACCATAAGAAAGCATTGTTGTATACTGCGTTTTTAATATTTTAATTTAGATGTTTTGTTTTCTAGAGGGCGCTTTAGAACGACTTCTAGAAGTTTCCTGAATGTCGAAGCCTGACGGTTGAATATAAAAAAAATAGCTTTCGTTATGGTTAAGTAGACTGAATATTACAGTATTTTTTAACGAATAATAAAAGAGAACCCGCCCACCGATGGAAATTGGTACAATAGTATGTACATATATTTCATTCAGACGTCATAACAAAGTCGATGATTTAGAATGGCGGCCTCGCACTTCCTTCATTATCACGAGAACAAAAGTCAACATAAGAAGCTGTGATCTAATAACGGCCTTGTCCAATGACACTAATGCTAGAAACATAATGTGGTGAATGACGTAACATTTCTCAGTTTCTATGGTGATTAAGTTTATCATACCGCTGTGTGATCTATTAAATACGTAACAATACTTTTATATATATAAATGTGTGTGTGTGTCGTTCTTTTTTCTCTAAATAACCAGAGGCGTTGCTAGGCGCTGGCACACAGGGCCCGTACCCCGAATGCCCAGTTGGTGTCCGGAAAAATCATAATAGAAAACCATGATCGATATCATACCGAAACGCCGAAAATTCCCGCGCCCAATGGCTCGAGCCCCGGATCTTTTAAGCACCTAGTGACGCCTTTGTAAACTACACCTTCTCAGCTTTAAAGACCACCCATAGCTAGGTTGTTTATTATAACTACGTATACGTAGCGATAGAATGATCGAATTTTGCATGAACAGCTGTGTGAATTAGGTTTCAGCTTCAGTTCTCTTTAAAACAGAGCCTTACCCAGTTTGGTTGATAGATGTTATACGTCAAAATCAATAGCAAGTTATTCGGCTTGTTATACTCTGAAAGTAATTACGTTTAACCACGATATAAAACCCAGTTAGGTATATATGTGTGTAAGCATCCAGTAGTAGTTGAGATTACGAAAGGTCACGTGCTCATACTGATGTAGAATCAGGGTTCGTCTTAATTACCATTCACGAATGATTTCTAATTTTCAAGGTTAATAATTGTACGTGGTGACGCTAGGTAAGTCCTGAAAAGCATGCTTTTTGTTTTTGTACAAAAAGTTTTTATATACATACACGCCCCCCCCCCCATTGGCACAGCGGTATGTCTGCGGGCTTACAACGCTAGAAACCGGGTTTCGATACCCGTGGTGGGCAGAGCACAGATAGCCTATTGTGTAGCTTGTGCTTAATTCCAAACAAACAAACAAAAGATGCATTCACTTTTTTTATCCGAGAAACTCCCCAGAATTTTCAACGCTAGAATCCAGGGCTCGATTCTCCGCGGTGGACACAGCAGATAGTCCAATGTGGCTTTTATCCAAGACAAACAAACTTATCAGAGAAAATTACATACATATATATGTATATATAGATTGACAAGTTCTTCTTATGCACTGCATTCTAAGGCAGTTATATAGAATGTAATGTTAAAAACATACCAGGCCTAATACTGATGTCTGATTACAAGTGATTGTAATCATGCTTCGCCAGCCTGTAAAGAGTGTTAACATCATAACGATTGTAGTTCTATTCGTAATTCGATGTCTATGAGCGTGATTTTGTTCGTATTGTTATGTAAAACATTTATGGACGTTTAATTTTAAGGATCTTTTGGCATATCCTAAAATTTTTTGATAAAAATTACGCTAACAGTATTTGTTTTTCACATTCATACCAGTTTGTTCATTACGAATTTAAAATCACAGGTATATAAATCATTATTTCAGATGTATCTTGTATCTCCCATGAGGCTATTCGTTTCCAATTCTTCCAGCGTTTTAGCCGTGAATATATCCGTCAAAAAGACAGAGAGAAAAGCCCGAACAAACAGCGCCACCTATTATTTAATTTGTATATGAACTCTTTTAAATTAGTTAAATAATCTCCTTTGCGGTTTTTCAAAACTTTCAACACAATTATAAATTCGAGTATGTTTTCACATACCCTATATTTTTATGAGACATGATTCAAGTTCACCTTCTTTTATTTTGATTCTACCTGTACTTATTTTGTTGAGAAAATCCACTGGGTTGTGTGCTGTAACAAAGCCCTTATATAGAGAGAGCCGTGTCAGGTAGATCACGTGATTTAAATAGAACTTACCTGGCTGCCGCTGCTGAACATTATACATATTTGTAAGTTCTGTACAGCGTCCGTAAATTCACGTCTTTCACCATTAGCGGTAACGTTCGTATAATCGTGATTAACGTACTATATATTAATTCAGTTATCTAGAAATTATGTACATTAACCTTTCAACCCTTATGTTACTTTTAAAGAATGTAATAATTATCGTACGAAATAAATATCAATTATAATAACTTAAGTTTAGGCTTAATATGCCACTATATCTGTTGGTTTACCATAACGATCTCTTAATTCTGGGTGATGGATCTTGTAGTTGGGTGGTAAGGGTGGTGGTGGTGATTAAACGAGAAATTGTGACATATCACTAAGTTAAACTTGTATTTTTATAAAATAATATGTGTCTTTAGGTGGTAATGCAAGTTGTACAGACCTAGTAATATGGGTGTTATGTTTTTTGTTAAGTGTTATCTAGTTTTAACTTAAGTTAGACTAGCCTTATTTGCTTCATCTTTCAGTAATGTTATGTTAATTTTACTGTTCGGAGTGTTCCCGTTTCGGTTTTCTTATGCGATTTTATTTGTTGTAATGAGAGTGAAAATTATTAATTACTCAAATTTTTAACGTGATTTGTACATGATCAAATTATTGTTGTTGGCTGTGTACTTTATTAAAAAAAATTCCCTTACAAACATTAATAAGAATCACAAGTTTACAAATGTACCGGTTTACAGCTCAGATAATTGTATACTGCTGGTAAGGATTGAAATTCTGTAAGGCCTAGTTTTTAGAAGATGCGGACAACCTGACCACTTTAAATTCTCCAGCATATCACAATATTTTGTTTTGATTATTGAGAATTAAACAAGTTATTAACCTTTAACAATAGCAATCACTTGTGATTCCTGTACACTCCTGGCTTGTGTAACATTCATTTTAAATCTACAGTCTATGTGTTTTTAATAAGATGAATTATTATGTATATTACGGTATGATTTTCAGTCACTCATGTTGAGAAGACAGCGGACAGCTCCTCTCGAATACTATGATTTATGTAGAGACGAACTGGGTGAAGACTCTTCACAAATTAACACAGCAGAGAATAAAGGGCTAGAAATGAAATTCACAAGTTCGTCAGATGACTTGCATCGTCTTAAGAGAAGAATTGTTGAACAGAGTGATAGTGAAAAACTGTCGCACAAAGCAAAGCTTTCTCTTTCTATAGGTAAGCGTAATGTCTTTATGAAAGTTTCATCTAACTTGTTACTTTATTCTGGAGAACTAATATCTTAAAGCTTGGTTCAGACATTAGTTTATGTAGTGTTAGAATAAACATTGTATGTACTGATGACTTGCTTTATACTCTTGTATATTCATATAATGGTTGAATACATTGAAGTAAAATAAACATGAATAAACTGGCTATTTATTGTACTGGATTAACGTAGGAGCTGCAGCCCCAATTCTCTACCAACCTTGAAAGATTTTGAAAAATACGTACAGTTTCATCGATGGACCCCTTAAAATACATTAGTTTCTGAGTCCCCTGTAGGCTTAATCTGACCCAATTTAAAATCAACGTAAATAAACTGACTGTTTATGGAAGTTATAAAAGTTTTATTTTAGTAATCTTTCATGTAATTGTATCATGTTACTGTTCTTATTACATCTGGTATATATCATAACCATTTTCAACTTTGTCTGAAGTGGATATTAATTGAATTTTCCAAATGAAATATTCCAGAGACATTCTCTAAAGTGTGATAAACTGTATGTATTCCTCTTGTTTCAAATAGTTTATCATTGTTGCATAACCTGCTTAGAAATGAGATTAATAATGTATTGAGTATATAACATTGTTGCATGACCTGTTATGGGTTTATAATGTGTATATAACATTGTTTCTTAGCCTGTTATGAAATAGGGTTTACAATATGTATATAACATTATTGCATAGCCTGTTATGAAATAGGGTTTATAATATGTATATAACATTGTTGCATAGCCTGTTATGAAATAAGGTTTATAATATATCATGTTGGCATGAAATATTATACATTTTACAACACATTATTCTCCTGAATGTAGTTCATAAGTGTTATTGATATTTCTATACTTTTCACTGTCATAAAGTTTCCTATTAGATAGTTCTCAGATCAACTGTAGCCCAGTGTCTTGTTGTTACAGTTCAGACTGTAGTAAACAGGGCAACAGTATGTTTTTAGGGAATGTATGTACCTGTTACAGTGACACAGAAATTCCTTAAAAATACTGCTGTGATAAAAAAATACTCCTATTTTACAGTGACACAGAAATTCCTTAAAAAATACTGCTGTGATAAAAAATACTCCTATTTTACAGTGACACAGAAATTCCTTAAAAAATACTGCTGTGATAAAAAAATACTCCTATTTTACAGTGACACAGAAATTCCTTATAAAATACTGCTGTGATAAAAAAAATCTCCTAACTTTTTCCACTGTCTTATGTATATACAGTTGTAAAAAGAAAGTCTGTATCAAGTTTCTTTTACTCTAATGATTTGTAACTTTTGGTTATTATAAATTAAGTAGAGCTCGAGATAAGATTAAGTTCCAAATTAAGCTTTTAAGTGTTTTGTTTTGTAACTGGCTCTACGAAAAGGTCACTTTCTTTGAAAAAAAATTTAAAATTTATATTAAATGTTCCTCTATAAGTTACTTGTTTTTCTCATTCTAATTCAAGAGGTATTGTGTGTATAGGCAAGTTACCTTGCTATAACCTCAAGATGTACGGTGTACACCTGTGGATTTTATGATGTGGTACACAGGTGAAACACCTGTATTGGCAAGCTGTAAGGCTTTACGTATGTGAATGGGGTTCTGTATCTGTTCATCCAGCACAGCTCACGATCTGAAACTTCCTCGTGCTCTGTGAGGTGACTCACTGACACTTGTTTTACAAAGTCAGCAGATTTCACTGTACATGTTGAGTTCCTCGTTTATTCTGAGATAACAAGTGAGGAGCCACATTTTATGAGCTTTTTATGTAATGTTAAAAAAGGTTGGAATAATGCCTTTTTTAGTAAAAGTTGAGAAATATGATAATTGTCACATGTTGAAGTTACAGAACTAATATGGAAACAGTAAAACCAATGATATTAGGTTCTCCTCCCTTTTAAAAGATAAGGAAATGATGTAACAAAAAGTCGAATGTAAGAATAACTTTGTGAATAAAGTTTTTTTAACTATAAAAGGAATAAAAGTTAAAGAATGTTCTAGTTAAACCTAAAAATTATGGAGTAAATTAATATTACTTGATTATTATAATTCCTTTGTCCAGCAAACTTTCAAATATGGTTATTATGTTCTTTCCACTGAAATTTCATTCTACAGTTGATAGGCCTGTTGATGAGCATAGCAAAATTTGTACTGGTTCAATACAATGTTATGAATAATATGTACCACAACCGATACAGTTGGCATATAAGTGGAATACCGTTTTTAGATTGTTGAATTATTTCATTTATTTATTCATGTATGTATATTGTAAATAAGAAAAATATGACAGAATGAACTCTTAATTTGTCATTAAGGTTACACAAGTGATGACCTCCGATGATTTGATATTAATTCCAATTTCAAAGATTTTTTTGAATATTTAAACAGTGTAATGATGCTTAAAAGCAATTCAGTTAAAAATTCATCATTGGTTTGTTTTATATGTTCTACCTACACTAAATAATTAATCTGTCAGAGATGAGAGGAAAAAAAAAACACTTGAAATAAATTGGGACTTACAATGCATTATTTTTTTAGTTCTGTTAATTTGTTAGTTTTTTCTAAGCACGTGACAAAAATACAAACCAGGCTAAAAATACATAAACCAGTTTAAAAGAAGAGAGATGAAATGTCATTTGTTTCTTTTTTTAAACCGTGTGTAAGAAAATAAGTTAACCTATTTTAATCACTAGGGGTGAAAAGTATTGGTTCCTGCCAAATCTGTTTTGGCATTTTCCCATCTGCTTACAGACATGAAACCCTTGGGCTAATAATATACATGTTTGAACACTATGATAAGGTTTCATGCACTGAGGTTATGGTTTTTTTCTGCATATAATTCCATATTTCAGCCAGGTATGTTGAAATTATGATTATTTATTCAGAACTTAGTGAATATTCACTGACTGATTTGATTTATAACATAAAAGTAGAGGCCAGTATGGATGAAAATAGACAGTAGAACATTGCGTTTTCTAAAAATTAGTCTTTATGAGTCAGATAGTTTCAGTAGCTTTTATACCGTGTAGCTGAAAGTTTACTAATAAGTAAAAATCTTTTGAAAGAGTTTATAACCACAAGTTTTGTTGTTTAATTAATGTAATGAAACAAGTTTAATTGACTGTTGAATTATAAATAAACCTTGTATTGATGTGCTGTTAACTATTGACATCACTGGTTGTCAAGGGGATAGCTTTCATTAAGGGATGTATTGTTAACTACTGATATCAATGGTTGCCAAGGAGATAGCTTTCATTAATGGATGTATTGTTAACTATTGATATTAATGGTTGTCAAGGAGATAGCTTTCATTAATGGATGTATTGTTAACTATTGATATTAATGGTTGTCAAGGAGATAGTTTTCATTAAGGGATGTATTGTTAACTGTTGATATCACTAGTTGTCAAGAAGATAGCTTTCATTAAGGGATGTATTGTTAACTATTGATATTAATGGTTGTCAAGAAGATAGCTTTCATTAAGGGATGTATTGTTAACTATTGATATTAATGGTTGTCAAGGAGATAGCTTTCATTAAGGGATGTATTGTTAACTATTGATATTAATGGTTGTCAAGGAGATAGCTTTCATTAAAGGATATATTGTCAACCATTAGTATCACTAAATTAATAAAAAATATGTATTTTACTATGTTGTTTATTATAGATCATTTTTCCATAAAATATTATAAACTAAGGAAGATGAATATTTTCTTTAAAAAAACAGCAATTGTTTAATAGCGTTAGCCCATTGAGCTGATTTGCTTAGTAACATGGATGAAATATGTCAGACTCCAAAACCAGGCTTAATATTTTTAGAAAACTTTTATGTTGAGTGAGGTATTTTAAAGAAACTGTTGGTATGAGCCAGAAAATTATAAAACTGTCACAAATTGTTAACACTTATTTCTCTATTATTTTAATTGAATAAAGATAATAATGTAACCCATTTGAATATTTGTCATATTTACTTCAAACAAAAGCAACTCCAGTTTGACAAATCGTGAAATAAACTGGATTTTTTTTTTACCTCTGAGTACCAACTTCAGGTGAATATAAAACCATTTTCATGCACAATTAGCTTTTAGTTCAAAGGACCAGAAGAATCTTCTCTAATTGTTTTATACTTTTATTATAACTGTGATTAACTTGTTAAGAATAATTTCAAGTTGAGTAGTTACATAGATAATTCACAGTTTGTTGATTATAGTCTTCATTATATTTTACTTAACTTTATCTAGATCCCATACCGTACTGTGGTGTATAGTCTTCGATATATCTTACTTAACTTTATCTAGATCCCATACCGTACTGTGGTGTATAGTCTTCAATATATTTTACTTAACTTTATCTAGATCCCACATCGTACTGTGGTCTATAGTCTTCAGTATATCTTACTTAACTTTATCTAGATCCCACACTGTACTGTGGTGTATAGTCTTCAATATATTTTACTTAACTTTATCTAGATCCCATACCGTACTGTGGTCTATAGTCTTCGATATATTTTACTTAACTTTATCTAGATCCCACACTGTACTGTGGTATATAGGTTCTGTTCTAGATCATGTTACCAATGTAAAAAGTGAGCCTAATTGGGGTTCACTTCAGAACTTTGGGGCCCTAGTTGAAACTGAAACTCAAATGCTTTTTAAGGTTAGAACATGTTGCTTTTGTGACATATAAGTTAAATTAGGGTGTAAGTCAGAATTCTGGGGTTGTAGTTGAAACCAAAACTTGGCTGCTTTCCCAGATCATGGCGTGTTGATATGGTAACAACTGAGCTGAATTGGGGTGCACATTAGACCTCTGGAGCTGTAGTTTAAATTGAAATTCAGCTGCTTTTCAAAGTTCATGTCATATTGCTATGGTAATGAATAAGGTGGGCTGGGGGGAGGAGGGGTGCCAAGATGTTTTCACTGCAGAGTCTCAGACTTAAACACCTGAAACCACATAAAAACTATAAAGAGTCCAGAAATTTATCTTATTTCAGAGAGAAAGAAGGCACCTTCTCCTGGAAAATTAGAAGCTTAAAATTTATTTTGTAGTATACTATTCTCCATTGTTATAAAATATTTCCATATTATTGCTATCTAATTTATAATCTTGTTCAGACTGAGGTTAACCCTAAATACAAGTTACCAAAGTGTGTTATTTTGATTTCACATTGACATTGTGATGTTAGTATGACATGAAAAGGTAAACCATGTAAAGATGTAATCGTATTTACATGCGAAATGGAGATAGTGTTACTGTTCTTCATGTAATTAAATATAATACTTTAATGTGAGGTTCAATTGTTTTAGGTTATATATACAACTAGTTTGGTTTCTTTTTAAGTATATAGATATCAAGTGCAGAAACAAATTATATCACATTTCAATTTATACTTGAAGGGTACAATAGCTTCTTGAAATTATGGTGGATTCAGGGTTGACATCATAATTCTGATTTGATCAGGAAAACAATATAGTTAATTATTATGAGACTAAGAATACACTTTTTTTTTAAAATATTTAGTGGGAGGGATTTATTATATATTATTTTAAAAGTGTGTTACCATGCCCAGACTTTGAGTCTGAGGATTCACTTCTTTCATCATATTGCCACAAAAATGTGTTGTGAACTTTGAGACCATACGTGAGGTTATCTGAGTGACAGTCAAATCCAACCATTTGGTCAGCTACAGGTGCTGTTGACTAGCCGTCTGTCTTCTAGAGACAACTGTGTAAAGAAAGCTTTTGTATAATTCTGCACAAAAATTCTAAACAAACTAAACACTTCCATAGTTTAACTGTCAACGGGATGCAAGAAATTACTGTCCAATGGATTAATTAAAATTTCTGTTAGTTATTCCATTCTCTTTTATCAATATAGACATTATCAGTCATGTTAATTTAGTTAACTAGCATCTCTAATTATTACTGGTTTTGTTGCTTTCAACTATCCAGTAATCAATTTATAATTCAGTCAATTAATATCATGAAAATTATCAACTGATCGAAGTCATGGTTTTTTGGTTATTCCATCTTTCCATGTGATGGAAACATATGTTTGTTCATTGTTAAACAAAAAAGCTACATAATGGGCTATCTGTGCTCTGTTCACCACAGGTATCGAAACCTGATTCTGACTATTAATTATTTTTTCTATCCATCTCATGAGAACAATTAACAAGTTGAATGTAATTGATTAATGAACCCAATGATTCATCAATTAGCAAATTCCACTAATCATCCAGCTCTATAAAGTATAACATTCAGTGGAATCTGATTGATTTTGATGTAGATTTTAGCTTCCAAAAAGTACTTGAAATTGATCTCATCAGTTCAGTATGAACCACGATTATTACCTTGTTTCATGTATGAACTCACATACAGATTAGTGAATCGTAGATCTGTATGAAATGCATGTTTCCAATAAGATATAGCTATTCAGATATGGGACACAAATCTACGTATTACCGCTTAACTTTCCCTTCGTGAATATTTGTGCACAGATTGCCAATGTCCGAACTGACAGAGGTCTACTGTATTTACTATTGCATTTAATGGATATCTACCGTGCTGCTAGTTCAGAAAAAGAGGAGAAACTATGGTTTTCAAATTTATTTAATAAGAAACAGAAGTTATAATACTTATATTACAGTGTGATCATGAGTTTCTTTGAAGTACTTTTATTCCTGATCTATAACCTAGGGATTTTTTTCATATAAAGCAAGCCAACTAATTGGAAAACGACTCTCCTCGTCTCGACAGCTACTTGCTGCTGGGCAGGTGTGGAAACATACAGTTCCCAGCCATGACTGTGATATTGTTATGACTTTTCCCACAAATGCCAGTGAATCTACACTGGTGTGGCTATTGACAAAACTGAAAACATGTGTACCAGATATTTCTGTTGAAGTTCGCCATCATCGGTACTCTGGAGTGTATGTGTTTTACTTCACTGCTCCTTATGAAAAGTAAGTTTTGATGGTGTTGTTTATACTAAAGTAATAATAATAATAATGTGATGGTAATTCTTACTTTTTGTTTGTTTCTGATTAAACAGATTTTGAGAAAATCTTTTATTTTTAGTTGTTGGGCCTTGTGAAGTATTGAAATGACATAAACAAACATTAGGGACTGAAGTAGTGTAAACAGACACATCAGGGGACTGAAGTAATTTAAACAGACACTTCAGAGGACTGAATTAGTGTAAGCAGACACTTCAGGGGACTGAATTAGTGTAAGCAGACACTTCAGAGGACTGAATTAGTGTAAGTGGACACTTCAGGGGACTAAAGTAATGTAAACAGGCACTTCAGAGGACTGAATTAGTGTAAACAGGCACTTCAGAGGACTGAATTAGTGTAAGCAGGCACTTCAGAGGACTGAAGTAGTGTAAACAGGCACTTCAGAGGACTGAATTAGTGTAAGCAGACACATCAGGGGACTGAAGTAATTTAAACAGACATTTCAGAGGACTGAATTAGTGTAAGTGGACACTTCAGAGGACTGAATTAGTGTAAGTGGACACTTCAGAGGACTGAATTAGTGTAAGTAGACACTTCAGAGGACTGAATTAGTGTAAGCAGACACTTCAGAGGACTGAATTAGTGTAAGCAGACACTTCAGAGGACTGAATTAGTGTAAGCAGATGCTTCAGAGGACTGAATTAGTGTAAGCAGACACTTCAAAGGACTGAATTAGTGTAAGTGGACACTTCAAAGGACTGAAGTAATGTAAACAGACACTTCAGAGGACTGAATTAGTGTAAACAGACACTTCAGGGGACTGAATTAGTGTAAACAGACACTTCAGGGGACTGAATTAGTGTAAGCAGACACTTCAGGGAACAGAAGTAATGTAAACAGACACTTCAGAGGACTGAATTAGTATAAGCAGACACTTCAGGGGACTGAATTAGTATAAGCAGACACTTCAGGAGACTGAAGTAGTGTAAACAGACACTTCAGAGGACTGAAGATAGATATTTCAAGTGATTGAAGTTGTATTAACAGACATGTGAATATGAAAATATTATCACTTCCTGGTAAAAATTAAGAAATAATGGTACTCAGGATGTAACTTGGCTTGTTATCAGATAAATTGATTCTTTTGTAACGTTAAAAACTTTAACTTGGATTATAGTTAACCAACTAGCATGAAGCATTACTTAAAGAAGAAAACTATAAAGTTATAAAAACAATATCTAATTTGGTATTTTCTATTGCAGTTAATTAAAACTTGTTTTTCCAGAAACTCAAAGTGATTTCCATTGTAACTCCTGTAAGATTTGAATATTTTTTTTTTCTTCAGTCTGTTAAAAGGTGCCGAACAGTTGAAGTTACGCAAACAGCTTAAACCTGTGTTTGGAGGAGGCATGAAAGAATTTGTGTTTGAAGAACAAGATTTCTTTGAGAATGTGGAAGATTCTGTTAACTTCTTTAGTTCACAAGAGAGACAGAGCATCATTTTGCATTTTATCTATAGTCTAAGAGCAGAAAAGGGGGACCATTTTCATAATATTCAGTTTGTAGAAGGACAGTCAATCAGTGAGTCTTGTCATCAGTATTACTTGTTGTGTTCACTTTAACATTATAAATACCAACAGGTTTTTTTTAAATAAAGCATTTCTGTTCGAAATATAACTATTTTTCTTACTGTTATGTCCTTGTAGGTCAGTTCAAGTTCAACAGCATGCTGTTTGTAGTTGACCGTGTATCAGGTTCAGATGTGATAACATGATAATTTTATTTTCAATCCAACACTTACTGTGTTCTGAATCATGATTGTCAATTAAAATGTTTATTTTGTACAATATTTTGGATGTTTCTTGTTCATGCAAGAGTGTTGTTTGCCACAACATACGTTGTAGGATAAATCTGATGTATGTCAAACATAATGTTCGGTTTGATTAGTTCTTGGGCCTTGTAGATTACTTGATCAAGTGTTTGTTGACATTTTTATAGTGTTGAATATAAAAAAAAACATGTATATAAGTTCTTCACATTCAAATATTTTTGAATTTGTATAAAACTCTCACACTTTGATATTTTAATATGTTTGTAGTTCCTAAGTGTCTAGCCACAGGAATTGTCAGCCAGGTTTTACCATTGCACAATGGTGAAACTTTGACGAAGCTGAAGAAAACTTGGGTTCAAGCTTTCTTCCGGTATCAGCCATTGGGTATGTTAATAAACTTTCTCTTTCATGAGAATTATGAAGTCTTACCAAGAATAATTATAGCAGTTAAACAGAATAATTATAGTGATTAAACAGAATCATTATAGTAATTAAATAGAATAATTATAGCAGTTAAACAGAATAATTATAGTGATTAAACATAATAATATAGTGATTAAACAGAATCATTATAGCAGTTAAACAGAATAATTATAGTGATTAAACAGAATAATTATAGCAGTTAAACAGAATAATTATAGTGATTAAACAGAATCATTATAGTGACTAAACAGAATAAGTATAGCAGTTAAACAGAATCATTATAGTGATTAAACAGAATAATTATAGCAGTTAAACAGAATAATTATACCAGTTAAACAGAATCATTATAGTGATTAAACATAATCATTATAGCAGTTAAACAGAATAATTATAGTGATTAAACAGAATCATTATAGTGATTAAACAGAATAATTATAGCAGTTAAACAGAATAATTATAGCAGTTAAACAGAATAATTATAGGTATTAAACAGAATAATTATAGCAGTTAAACAGAATAATTATAGCAGTTAAACAGAATCATTATAGCAGTTAAACAGAATCATTACAGATAACTCATCTGTAAAATAGAAGCTTTCTTGGACATCAGAGATATGCAACATAACCCTTATATGTTAAATGGCCTACTTGGACAACACTTGCATACAACATAACTTGTGTAAAATAGTGACCTATTTAGACCCTTTGCTGATGCATGCGTGTGAACACTCATCATACAATTAGTGTCTCTGTATTTCTGTTGAATCAGGTAACCAAGCATGACTACAAGAAATAGAATACTTACCGTTGTTCTTATAGCCACTAAGTATCTGTTTTTGGGTCAACAGTTTATAGTTGGTTCACTTTTAGTACCAACCCTGTATTTTGGGATGACAATTTGTACTTGTTTCACTGTGAAGTATAACTGTGTATTCTTGGCGATATGAAGTAACCATATATTCTTTTTTTCAAGTCTGGACTCTAACCAAAATCTTGTACTTAGATTAAAAACTTTTATCCACTTACAGTTTAAGTTGTGAAATATGTATGATATACGCTTTATTTTAATGGTTATGATTTGTTTCTTACAGATGACGTTTGTGGTTATTTTGGAGTGAAAATAGCAATATATTTTGCCTGGCTAGGTCATTACACCAAAGCTCTTACGATCCCCGCTGCTTTTGGTTTTTTTTTGTGGATGTGTTATTATGGACAGGACCAGGTATGGTAGATGGTAACGTGATCATTAGTTTATAGTTTAGCTTAAAGTGGTTTATTGTATTTTGATACGAATCTGGCATTTTCTAACTTGATATTCAATCAGCAGAGACTTTAAGATGTAGGAATTTCTGTAAAAAATATTCTTGTCTGTATAAGAAGTTAATTTTCTTTAGAGAAATCAGCAGTAAGTCTCCACGAGAGTTTGATGTCCTGAAGTAAAGTAAGAGTAGTTTAAATATCTTCTTACAACTACTGTTACCCAACTATCTTGTAATTTAATGTAAGTTTCCATGAGAGTTTGATGTCCTGATGTAAAGTAAGAGTAGTTTAAATATCTTCTTACAACTACTGTTACCCGATTATCTTGTAATTTAATGTAAGTTTCCATGAGAGTTTGATGTCTTGAAATAAAGTAAGAGTAGTTTAAATATCTTCTTACAACTACTGTTACCCGATTATCTTGTAATTTAATGTAAGTTTCCACGAGAGTTTGATGTCCTGATGTAAAGTAAGAGTAGTTTAAATATCTTCTTACAACTACTGTTACCCGACTATCTTGTAATTTAATATTTCATTTTCTTCTTAACCAGGCCAGTGAAGATCTTTGTTTTGTAGTGTTTGCTCTATTTAATGTTCTCTGGGCAACATTGTATCTCGAATTGTGGAAACGTACATGTGCAGAACATGCGTATTGTTGGGGTACTTTAGACAGCCAGAGTGAGCTGCTTTTGGAGCCACGCCCCCTCTTCTTGGTTAGGACTATTTTATTTGCAATTCATTCAGTTTCAGTTAAGCATACTTAACTCTGATTAATACAAAACCTAAACTACTTAAACAATTATTAATACTTGAATTATAGTTGAATGCTATCTCTTATCTGATTTTTTAAAACCATTAGAGTTTTTGATAACTTGCAAATAGAACTAGTCGTACTTACTATTCAGTAGCTGAGATCTAACAAGTTGATACTTGGTTTTGATATGTAAAATAAATTTCAGTGGAAGAGCAAACGTTGCCTATAGTTTCATTTGTCAGATTAAATGATGGATTTTCAAGCATTAGGAAATTAACCCTAAAAGTCATAATTGTTTCGGTAATGCATGGCCTGCACAATAACTTCCAAGTGTATTAATAACGTTTTTTTTTGTTATTGTTCAGGGTCCGCTTCAACAGAGTAAGGTAACTGGGAGGCTGGAGCCCACTTATCCTGCCTGGAAACGTAACCTCTTCAGATACTGTGTTAGCCTACCAATCATTGCTTTCTTCTTACTTGTAGTGTTCGTAGTGATGTTCCTTATTTTTGAACTACAGGTAACATCAGATTTTTTGTGAATCAGTATATATATCTTAAATTAAACGGCAATTAAACAGACTTTCACTCAGATTCATTCTAATTGGTTGGTTGAAGTTTAATGATATATATAGCAATGAAACTATTTGCATTGATTCATTCTCAGGGTGAAAGAGAATACTTTAATCCTCATCAGCACACCTTTGGAAAGTTGTGGTGTGGAATACCTGTGGTCCAACTGGACCCCAGCACAAAATTTTCATTATAGTAAGCTCTGGATTGAAATTCCAGAAACCAATTGCATTATAACTTTTATTAGGGTTAGCATGTAATGTGAACAACATAAAAGTATATGTATTCTAGAGGAAATATCTTGACAAATCAAGAAATTACATTATTCCTCAGTTAACAAATAAGTAGTATTAAACCATTCCTTACAAAAACAATGTAAAAAAAAACTGATTTTTATGCTACTCCTATATTCAAGTAATTACCCACTAATATGTGATAACCACACATTGCAAAATTCAGCTCAAAGAAAACTGAAAGTGTACGTTGTGGGTCTTCTTTGGTCCAACCAGACCCCAACACAAATGTATCCTTATAAAATATTTCTATAAGCAGTATAAACAGTCATCACAGAGAACACTTGTTGAGGAATGAGATGTGCATACATGCTTACCACAATGATGTTATAAACAAACAGATGAGATAACACTGCACTACTTTGATGAATAATCCTCTACAACAGCCTATATAGTGAAGAAATAGTTAGAAATTTGTTTCATATGGTATATGGGAACTGCATGTATAATAGTGAGGGTCAATGATGGTACGGAGGTCCGTGTTGACCCCAGATAAATATTAGATTGTAGCTATGTACTCTGCCTGCATGTTTCGAAAACAATAGTGTCCTATTGATCCAGGGTTTACTGCTTGACAGTTACATGAATTAATGTAAATTTGTAATTAGTAATTATTATGTAAATAGATATACAACCGAGAAAGTCATGTGGGGGGGGGGGTCATGTGGACTCCACGTGTGCTGATGAGGGTTAAGACAATTATATACTTAGAAATTAAGTTAAAATTCTACTAAAAATTAATAACTGATACAATTGTTTATTTTCTAGCTAGCTTTTAAATGATAATTAACATATTATGGATTTTTAAAAAAAGTGTTTTTCTATTCTACTTCCTTGTGCAGTTTACAGTTTATCTCAGAAGCTGTAGTGTTTTTGTTTTGATAAATATAATTAAAACATGGTAAAATGCTATTTCTGAAGATTAAGTTATCTCTGTTGATTCAAAATGAAATATATCTTCCCCAGAGTAAGAAAACTAAAATGTAGTTTCATCACTCCAAAGAACATTGTTAATTATCACTCCTTTTCCTTTACAACATCTCCACGCTGTTCGTTGTCAAATACGTAACCTTTTGAACAAGTTCTGAAGAATTGACATATACAATTTAAACAGTAAGTCCATCTGCTACCTATTTAAACTTTTTTTTTTGTACTTTCAGACTTGGTGGGACAAGAAGATCAGACAATTTGATTACCCATTTTGGCTAACTTTTCTACCCAAGATATTCTTAGCTTTAGTCATCAATGTGCTTGATTCTGTCTATTATCGCATAGCACATTGGTTGAATGACAAAGGTAAACCATGCATTTGTGTGTTAACATGTTTTCTTTCTTGTTCAACAGAAATTTGAGTTTGGTCTTGTTTTTACATTAAGGTTAACTTAAGGATTTATTTAGGATGGAATTAGTTTACTTTTTGTTATGGTACAATTCGAAAATAAAACTTTTTTTGAGTCAGTAAGTGCATTACGAAACAATTTTTTTTTAGATTAATTAGCTGTTTCGTTGAATCTGGAACAATTCATTAAGGCATCCAAGTTACCGTCACATCATTACGAAAGGTTCCGTTACAAGTGTTTTTCGTGATTGGTGAATTTTGTTACAAGAATGCACCTGACACCTACCCGCTATAACACATCGTAATACAGGCTCAGACACCCTCTCACCTACTTAGTGTTTTGCAATTTTTGAATGGTCCCCAAATTATTGTACAATTTATGATCTATTATAACTTATTATTATTGTTACCAATCAATTTTGTATTTTAAAAAACTATCTCTCACAAAATCAGTATTCGTAACAAAAACTGCCATGTCACAGAAACGATGTAACAAGAATGCACTCTCACAAGTTGTCTTAGTAACAATGTGGTGGTAACAAAGTGTCTGGATCCCGTTTCATTAAACATTTGCAGGAGGTGTTGTAATATTTGTTTCGGGGTTAATAGGTCTGTCTAAGATATGAGTAGGAGATGTTATAACAAAGGTGTTAATGTATACAGTGTTACATAATGTGAAGTTAATATTACTAGAGTGTAGCATGGTGGAAAGTTACTGTGAATAAAGTATTGTACCTAATGTAAAGTTAATATTACTAGAGTGTAACATGGTGGAAAGTTACTGTGAATAAAGTATTGTACCTAATGTAAAGTTAATATTACTAGAGTGTAGCATGGTGGAAAGTTACTGTGAATAAAGTATTGTACCTAATGTAAAGTTAATATTACTAGAGTGTAGCATGGTGGAAAGTTACTGTGAATAAAGTATTGTACTTAATGTAAAGTTAATATTACTAGAGTGTAGCATGGTGGAAAGGTACTGTGGATAAAGTATTGTACATAATGTGAAGTTAATATTACTAGAGTGTAGCATGGTGGAAAGGTACTGTGGATAAAGTATTGTACATAATGTGAAGTTAATATTACTAGAGTGTAGCATGGTGGAAAGTTACTGTGAAGAAAGTATTGTACCAAATGTAAAGTTAATATTACTAGAGTGTAACATGGTGGAAAGTTACTGTGAATAAAGTATTGTACCTAATGTAAAGTTAATATCACTAGAGTGTAGCATGGTGGAAAGGTACTGTGAATAAAGTATTGTACCTGATGTTAAGTTAATATTACTAGAGTGTAGCATGGTGGAAAGTTACTGTGAATAAAGTATTGTACCTAATGTAAAGTTAATATCACTAGAGTGTAACATGGTGGAAAGTTACTGTGGATAAAGTATTGTACCTGATGTTAAGTTAATATCACTAGAGTGTAACATGGTGGAAAGGTACTGTGGATAAAATATTGTACCTGATGTTAAGTTAATATTACTAGAGTGTAGCATGGTGGAAAGTTACTGTGGATAAAGTATTGTACCTGATGTTAAGTTAATATTACTAGAGTGTAGCATGGTGGAAAGGTACTGTGAATAAAGTATTGTACCTAATGTAAAGTTAGTGTTATTAGAGTGTAACATGGTGGATAAAGCATTGTACCTAATGTAAAGTTAATATTACTAGAGTGTAGCATGGTGGAAAGTTACTGTGAATAAAGTATTGTACCTAATGTAAAGTTAATATCACAAGAGTGTAACATGGTGGAAAGTTACTGTGGATAAAGTATTGTACCTGATGTTAAGTTAATATCACTAGAGTGTAGCGTGGTGGAAAGGTACTGTGGATAAAGTATTATATGTATACTTCCACTTAAGTGTGAAATATTTCATGAAATTCTTTTTTTAAATATTGTTACTCAGTTCACTACCATAGCTTTAGAAGGAGGTGTTTTATGATTGTATAAAAACGTTTTTTTTTGGGGGGGTTTAGTTGAGCCACTTTGGCTTTGTATATAAAATGGTGATAGTTGCTCTTCGAGCTACCAGTGATGAATCTTGTTACCCAAAAAGCTATTGTACGTCAAGTTTTTCGTTTAAAGCTTCATAGTTTTTCTTATACATTATGTAAATAAACTTACTGTAGTTGAATAATGTAAGTTTCAACTGAAATACAAATGTACTCCAGGACTTGAACCCAGGATCTCTGGCTAACAGGGCCCCTGAGTTATCCAACAGATACAGTTTCTGATGATCAGTATGATCTACTATGTTACATTATGATAGTTACACAGGCCAATTTACAAAACTTCTCTCCGTAAACTAACACTTATTTTTGAAATTCATTTAGGAAACGATGATATTTAACATTAGGTATTAATTTAAAAAGATGATAAGTAAAAGATACTCTAGGACTTGAACCCAGGCTTTCTGGTTAACAGGGCCAGTGATCTATCACTGAGTTATGCAAGAGTAAAAAGCTATCCCCATCAATGTTCATTTAAGAAGTAAATTGAGTGAATTTACATATATCATTTTTTACATCAAATATTTACAGTGAATATTGACAACATTCATCTAGGAACAATTAATAGACAGTGTAGAAGTTAAGTAAAGTGTGTTTAGCCTAGTTCACTATCTTAGCATTAGGTACTTAGGCCATAACTGTGATCAGCTCATTTACTAACCGTGCTGTTTAACTTACTTTCAGAAAACTATAGGCTAGAAGAAACCTTCCAGAATCATCTCATTATCAAATTAGTTCTGGTTTGTACCATATTAGTACCCATTACATTGGTTTTGTTTTAGGGGTGATTTGCTTGTTTTTCCATCTGTTTTTCTTTCAAATGTTTGTATATTTTTTACCTATTTGGTTTGACGTCCTGCAAGTTTTTTATTCATGACTGCAGAGTGTTGATGTCTTAAGATATTTACAAACACATACACAGTAGTTAACATTAGAATATATAAACTCAGACATTGAGTATATTTGTATGAGTCAAGGAAAACTTCTGGTGTCTTGTAGAAACATGTGATACTGATTAGACAAAGAAACTAATTTAAATAGTAGTGGATAGTCCCGGGACTCTACCACTTCACTAAGTTTGGTTTTGTAGAATATACTTTATTAAATGTTTCATTTGGTAAGTATATCACCAAGAACCAGTAATTACTATTTATTGGGATGTTTTTCATTTTTACCACCAGTCAATAAAGTATATAATTACACTCGTATGTTTCAATGTTCTATAAAATTATCTTTATAATTAGAAACATTATTTTTTAGTTGGAGAATACTTGAGCCAGTTTTTTTTTTTCATAGTCAAAAAATAGTAATTTTATACTTGAGTTCCACTATTATTAATTTACAAAATATAACAGCAAAATTACCTTTATCAAATACCACTACAGCCTGTCTTGTATGCTACTGCTGATAGCAAGACACGACCTCCTACCATGTGCCAAGGTTTTAAACCTTTCTTTTAGTATGTGTTACTCTTTGTGGCCCATATCTCTGTCTCTATCTTTCTCTTCTGTCCTCTCAGAGAACTATAGACTGGAAGAGGAATTTGAAAACCACCTGATTGTCAAAATAGTGGTGGTTAGTATCTTTTGATGTTCTCGGTTTGCCTGCATGGAACGGTAGTCTTTACCATACATTGCTGTTTCCTTGGAAGTCTGCATGGTTATTGACATGATGGTGTAGTCTGCATGAGTAGTTGATAGCTTGTAGACATCTTTGTCTCTAGTGGGTCCCCTGGTGGGAGTTTAAGTAATTATTTTGTATATTGATAATTTGTATTTTATAGCAAGAAATAATTATTTGCGTTACATTAATTTTATTAACTTGTGTTCGTATTTAATCATTCCTATTAGAAGGGAATTCTGTAAATTTCATCAATGTATATCCACATTAACCTCACTGTTCTTGTAACAGTGAAGCACAGTCATGTTTGTATGTCCACATTAACCTCACTATTCATATAACATTGAAACACAGTCATGTTTGTATGTCTGCATTAATCTTGCATTAAACTGTAAAGTGTCTTACTGACATTATAACTCATTGTTCTTATCAAACTGTAAAGTGTCTTACTGACATTATAACTCATTGTTCTTATCAAACTGTAAAGTGTCTTACTGACATTATAACTCATTGTTCTTATCAAACTGTAAAGTGTCTTACTGATGTTATAACTCATTGTTCTTATCAATCTGTAAAGTGTCTTACTGACATTATAACTCATTGTTCTTATCAAACTGTAAAGTGTCTTACTGATGTTATAACTCATTGTTCTTATCAAACTGTAAAGTGTCTTACTGATGTTATAACTCATTGTTCTTATCAAACTGTAAAGTGTCTGACTGACATTATAACTCATTGTTCTTATCAACATAATACAGTAATGTTTGTGTTTCCACTCTATATCTAATTGTTCAAATATTGTATCACAGTTTCATTTCGCATGAAATACAAACTGAGGTTTTTAATAAAATTGTTTTATTTGTAAAATATAAGTGATTTTATTGGTTGTAAAAGGATATATTTTGTCAGTTCTAACTATTTACTAAACACAGAAACAATAAAGAATTTTATAAACCCATATTTCTTATATTAGTTTCATTACTAACCTTCATGTGCATTTAATGAGTATTTTCAGTGATTCCTAAAAACATTTTTTTTTTACAGAAGAACACAGGGAAGTAAATGCTTATGCTTATTGGTTAAACCTTGTGTAACCCTGAACAATGATTGGTCGAAAGATGGTTATCAGAAACGATTATTGGTTAAACCTTGTGTAACCCCGAACTATGATTGGTCAAAAGATGTTTATCAGAATGTTTATTGGTTAAACTTTGTGTAACCCCAAACATTGATTGGTCAAAAGATGGTTATCAGAAATACTTATTAGATAAGTCTTCTGTAACACTTAACAATGATTGTTCAAAAGATGTTTATCAGAATGTTTATTGGTTAAACCTTGTGTAACCCCAAACAATGATTGATTGAAAGAGACCGTTACCAGAAAGTATAATCAAAAGTCATTAGTTTCAGTGATTCATGTTTAATGCCAGAATTACAGGTTACTCACGTGTTTATTGTGACTTTATTTGAAAGTGAAAAATATTTTAAGACGTAGTAGAGGTTGTGATACAATTAATTATTATTCGAAAATAGATTTTCACTTCCTGTTATTTAAACTTTGACAATATAGCTTCATCAGACCACAGAAACAGTTGGTGCATTATAAACACAGTATTTGTGCTTTTATAGCGTATCCTGAAGAAGAAAAATAGTTGGGATGTAGGTAATGAAGAGTGAATATTTTATTATAGAATAATATAAACGTTAGATGTTTTTTCTGTTATATTTGATAATGAACTCCAGTCAATATTTCATATGTTGTAGGATGAACAATGAAACTTTTGTTCCTAAAACTTAGTTTAAATTATTGAATATTGAAAGTTTCTTTTAAAAAGGAAAGATTATGTAATAAGTTGTCTTTCACTATTTTTATGTTTCAGAAATACACTTTAACGCAGTACAAGTGAAGGGACCTACATTAACCCTGTTGGATTTTTATTTACATTCTTCTAAACTCTTTATCTGCGAAGTTACTTGTGAATATAAAAGCTCATTAGTCACATATGGTCATTGAATCACAAGAAAATACACACAGAAATACTATCAATATTACAGTTAACCACACTAATTAATGACGGGTTTTTCTGTTTATTTTACACAGAAAATTTTGGATATTTTCTTGCTCAGTTCTTTATACTAAATGTTGCGATGGGCAGAAACATACATTTACACAATATACAGTATGTGGGCTCCACTGATAATGAAGAGTACAAAAACAAGTCAACAGTTTGAGGGTTGAGTGATTGTAAGAAGTCAAATATTGTAACAGTCTTTTAATGTCTCGCATCACTATATCAACTCTTCATTACCAAAAGGAAGATTAAAAGTGAATTATTAATTTTTAAAATTAGGAAGCAGTAACATAGGAGGGAGTGTTTAACTCCTAAAAAAGCATGTCAAAATGTCTAATCTCTGAGGTTCGATTTCTGTTGCTCTGCATGTGATTGGCATTTGCTTATTGAATTCTGCATGTTTTTGCCATTTTCTTGTACATATGCTCTCAGATTGTTGCTGTTTTTTTAACCTCGTTTTAATTTATAGTTCCAGTTCTTCAACTCCTTTCTTTCACTCTTCTACATCGCTTTTTATCTGCAAGATATGGAGAAGTTAAAGGAGGTGAGTAGAACAGTTCTGATTTAAAAAATTACACTTTAAACATATAATGGTTAAAAAAGATGTAATGTGTATGGTACAAATTTGACTTAAAAAACTCTGACTTTCCTGGTAACTAGGATTATCATGTGTCGAATACCAATGTTTGTGAATCTACTGTAAAACTGAGGTGTAGGGTTTCCAGGTAACTAGGATTATCATGTGTCGATTACAAATGTTTGTGAATCTACTGTAAAACTGAGGTGTAGGGTTTCCTGGTAACTAGGATTATTGTGTAGAATACACCAATGTTTGTGAATCTACTGTAAAACTGAGGTGTAGGGTTTCCTGGTAACTAGGATTATCATGTGTTGAATGCAAATGTTTGTGAATCTACTGTAAAACTGAGGTGTAGGGTTTCCAGGTAACTAGGGTTATTGTGTAGAATATACCAATGTTTTTTTAATCTACTGTAAAACTGACGTGTAGGGTTTCCAGGTATCTATCACTGTCTCATAACTGCCAGATAAAATCTAAAAACAGTTTAACAGCAACCCAGTATTGTTGAAAGAAAAACATTAGGCTGTTTTTACTTTAATAGGTTGTTATCAGTTACCATGTGTTATTGTTAAAGTTAGTTAAGTACAGTTTCCTGAAGCTGAGAGATTAAACTGTATCTCTTTCTCTTAATGTGCAACTAATGCTATCAATGTAACACACATTGACACAGGCTTTCCTTTTCAGCAATTGGCAGTTTTGCTTATCACGAGACAAGTGGTGGGAAACATCAAAGAATCCCTTCTCCCTTTCCTCTCCGAATCTTTGAAACTTGCCAAACTTGGAGCAAGATCCGTGTCAACACCCAAGACGAACGAGCAGAAAACAATTCCCGAGACGAGAAGCCTAAAAACAGATGAACATGAGGTTTCAGACGGATACACCCAGGAAGATGAGAAAAGTGAAGTTTCATTAAAGAATAAGCTCACTCAAGCTGAAGTGGAAAGTTCTATGTACAAGGTAGAAAATGTCGCGTGTCCAAAATGCCCTTTGAAGTTGTAGTTAAATGATATTTTGTAATGTCCAAGTGTTGGACATTACTTGTGGTACATGTACCATCAGATGTGTGTTTACCCAGTGTTGGACATTACTCATGGTACATGTACCATCAGATATGTGCTTACCTAGTGTTGGACATTACTTATGGTGCATGTACCATCAGATGTGTGCATACCAAGTGTTGGACATTACTTATGGTACATGTACCATCAGATGTGTGCTTACCAAGTGTTGGACATTACTTATGGTACATGTACCATCAGATGTGCGCTTACCAAGTGTTGGACATTACTTATGGTACATGTACCATCAGATGTGTGCTTACCCAGTGTTGGACATTACTTATTGTACATGTACCATCAGATATGTGCTTACCAAGTGTTGGACATTACTTATGGTACATGTACCATCAGATATGTGCTTACCAAGTGTTGGACATTACTTATGGTACATATACCATCAGATATGTGCCTACCAAGTGTTGGACATTACTTATGGTACAT